AAATAACCCTATAGGCATAACGTCAAAGTGACATCTATTGGCGGGGCGTTCGTTTAGGGGAGTTATCTATTCTTATCTACTGGTCACCAGACAATGAGAACAAGATGGGAACCAGAATAGAAAAGTAACACGAGTTATCTCGCCTTGAAATGTCCGTAATTCTTGTACATGTAAATAAAATGCAAGATATAATCGCGCTAGTCATGACAAAGTTTAAATAAATATATATGACATATATATTTCCGTAAGGTCTGTCACCAAACATAAACGACAAAAAATATCGAAATTTATAAAAGAAATATCACTGGTATCACTATATGATGTATATATTGAATGCATATCCTGTCAATCATCATTTTCTTAGGTCAATATCAACATTGACATTTAGTCACGTTTTCATTGCTTTTATTTTTTTATCTTTTTTAGGGGGAGGGGGTTGAACGTTCCTGATAAAGGTAAATCCCGAAAAGCTCTTCGGGCACACGAAATTATAAAGTGTTATTTTAGTATAGCCCTGTCGGATCGAAATGACTGATATGGTAACACCCGAGCTATCATCAGTTCATATGTACTGAACTTATTTATTGCATGTGTTTTTCTTAAATTTTCCTATGATAAATATTTTTTTACGAACTAAGGTTCCAACTCCCTCAAGCAGAGATGAGCTGAGATTAATTTAGCTATTCTTTTATGTCCCTTTTTGACATAATTGTAGCTCCTCTGTTTTTTCTTGGTTTTCCGCATTTTTTTTTTGGTTTGGAGCGATCCTGAAAGGTTCATCCAGAACATCGCTTCTGACGCACGAAACAATTAAAAGTGCTATTTTCATTGATGGCATAATCAAGTATATTATGCTGTATCTATATTTTTTTTTTTCATTGTATAATTTAAATACTTTTATTGCCCATGAATACACACGCTTATAAATTTATTATAAAATCCGGAACTATAGTACCGTATATCCTACTTGAGCCCTATGCTGCAGGCTATGTTGGTTTGCACTAATGATACTGGCTTTTATTGTATTTGTGTTTTGTTTTCTTTGTTTATTTCCATTAAATAGAATCCCAAGGAACATACAGTTTAACTATTAAACATTATTTTAGACAAAAAACAAAAAGTCAATGATACATAAAAGCCGGAACTATTGTACCGTATGGTGCAGGCTATGTTGGTTTGTACTAATGATACAGGCTTTTACTGTATTTGTGTTTTGTTTAATGGAAATAAACAAAGAAAACAAACACAAATACAATAAAAGCTTGTATCGTTAGTGCAAACCCACATAGCCTTTAGCATAGTATATGAACATCCGTTGTTGTAAATCGAAGCCTTCAGAAATCGTAAGACCTTCACCAGTGCGAGTCCTAGTGGTAACAAAAGTGCACCAACAATAAACATTTTTTTCAATATAAATATAACAGCTTCGTCAGTACTAACCCTACAGATAACATCAGTAAAGTTTTATCATCAGAAGTGTCCTTCTTTTTACAGCAAAGAAGAAAAAAATAAAAACTTTGATCTGTGATATGACAGCAATTTTTTTGAACACGTACAATGAAAAGTTTGCATTAAACAGCAAATTGTTTCACATCAAAGAGTTGTTTTACATGTACTGTAAATTAAATGCGAAGATGTGTCAGAACATTCAGACCTCTTACGCAAACTGCGCAGCCATTAACCTTTATAATTGGTGATATTGTCACAGATATATCACGTAATATGTTTATTATACAGTTATTGAACATTTCTCATCTCAGAAAAAAATATTTTGAAACAATAATAATAACATGTTTATTATCAAATTATTGAAATTTTCTAATCTCAATAAAAAATAATTTTGAAACAAATAATAATGTCTCGGTAAGAAAATCAAGGTAGATTTTATCTTTATTTCCTAGTAAAATACACTTTGAAATTTACTTAGCGGGTTGGGTTTAACGCCTAAGAAAATAGTCTTTCTGAAATAGATTAATTGTGTTAAATGTTATATTGAAAAACTGAGGTATACCAGAGACATATATACACATGTCTCTGGGTATACTAATGGAATATTTCCACTTATATTTTGAAATACTTTTTTCTGACGCATCAAAATGCTCTAAACAGTTACATGTTGTGCTGAATAGCATTTTGATTTAATGAAAACATGTAAAATTGTTAAAAAAAATATTAGTATAGGATGAAGACTCTTTGATTTTCAATTTCAAGTAGGATTTGACAAATTTTAGTTCTACATAATGCTAGTGATTTTACAAAATCTCTAAATATTTCAGGAATTTTACATCTACATGTAATATATACATGTAATAATAAATCTTTCCACTTTAAATCTAATTGCTCATGATTTGATCAGTAATAGAATACTTCTGCACATGTATATAAAGAATGTCTGGCATGTCGGTCAATAAAAATTGAGTCTGATGGGGGGATTCCTACAAACTTATAGACGAATCACGATTACAAACAGGAGGATGAAAGCCAATTGTATAGTTAACAAAAATCAAATAAATTTGTAAAATTTGTGCAGTTGTATGCTAGTTTCTAGGAGGAAATGATAGATTGATTGATTTGTTATTGTTTAATGCCACTTTCAGCATTGTAGGCTTTATCATAGCTGCCAGTTTTTTTATTGCAGGAAGATGACTATATGCCCAGAGAGAACCAAGACCTTCGTCAAAGACTGGCATACCTTGTCAATTTTTCAGTGTTGACAGTCTAGTGATTGCTGTTGATGCATTACTTACTGGTATACTACTCCGTATAAAGTTTTAAAATGAAGTGGCGCAAATAGATTGTAGTGCAAATGAATGCTTTTTTGGCACAAGGGATACATGTATCAGCCTTCGTTATAAATAGCTGCTAATTGACAAATGATGCCAAAACACTTTTTCCTCAAACAATATATGATCAATTTTCATATAAGGAAAGTACATTTGAATGTCAATTTTAGAAATATTTGAAATATTAATAATCTTACTGCAAAAAGTAAGATGAAGTACAAAAAACTGATAATATGCACATCTGGTATTGTATGCATACATATAAACCCAACATTCTTGCACATTCCTCAGGACATAATTATAGATTTTAATTATTCAATTTTTGACATTGTCCTATTTCAGTAGCAACTATAAAATTACAAAGAAAAATAACTTAAAGAGCAAGAATGTGCTGGTAAGAATTCAACATGGGACATTGCTATATTTTCAAACGTACATTCCAAAGTATGTTAAACAATGTAGTTCTTGCCAAGCGTTTTATCTCAGGTTCTGCACATCAAAAAAGATGTCAGTGACATACCGTCATGATTTTTTTTTTTAAACATTTGTAAACAATTGCAAAAAAAGAGGCATAAAACCAAGGGGTGAAAATAACTTAATGCTACAAAATAAATCGAATCATAATCAAAGATAACCTTTTGTTATATAGAATATCCATCAGTTATGCAGCTTTTTTCAGACAAGCCTATATATAGTTAGTCAATTTATTTATTTCCATTTTTTTTTTTCAATCCAAAGTTTATGCTGTCCGGACAATTATTGCAATACAAATTTATTCAAAAACTCTAATTTACAATGTTAGATTAACCGCTCTCATATTTTGCACATTTACAAATGTTTTTAAATTTTGATGTATGGATTGTCACTCAAAAATTTCTTTCAATTTATTTTAATTCATTTGCAACATTTCCAAAAATCTCAATAAATAATATTTAATATAAAAAATAAAAAAGATGTGGTATGATTGCCAATGAGACAATTCTCAGAAGAAGTTAACAACTATAACTCAATGTACTTCAACAACGAGCAAAACCCAAACCACATAGTAAGCTATAACTGCCCTGAAATGACAAATGTAAAACAATTCAAATGAAAAAGCTAACTGCCTGATTTATGTACAAAACAAAATGAATAACAAATATCATATACAGCAACAAACAACAACCACTGAATTACAGGCTCTTGATTTGCATTTTTGTCAATTATTCAACAATCACAAAAAAGTCTGAATTTACAGACATCAGAGCTAGATCTGTGTACTGTAAATTCAGAAATTATGAAGAGGATTCAGCTGTTTCACCAGCAGGTCAAATGGTGTCTCTGTATCTGCTTTTTTTTTAATCAATTGTGTTGATTGATCTATGTTTAAACTATTTCAAGAGTTATCTCCCATGTGGGAAAATGTATTCTATTATATTCTGAACAAATTCTCACATTTTTTTTAATGTAAATCTTATCAAATTTCCTAAAAGATCAATTGAAGGATTTGGTGACATATACTTTTTTAGAATAATAAATTTGAACTATTTCATATGTATTTGCTCACAAGGTAACCCGCCTACCCAGGTACATTTAAATTACTGATAAAACTATTTTTTCCTCACACAGTATATGTGAAATTTTCATACATAAAGGAAGGTACACTGGAATGCAAATTTTTGAAATATTTGAAATATTAATAATCTAACTGCAAAAAATAAGATGAAGTACAATAAAACTGATAATATGCAGATGTATCAGCACACCTGGTGTTCTATGAAGAAAACCTCGCATTATTGCACATTCTTAAGGACATATTTATAGATTTTGAATTACGCAAGTATTGACATTGTACAATTTCAGGAACAACTATTCTATGTATATGCTCACAAGGTAACCTCCTACCCGATACATCATTCTTATACAAATCAATTATAATCTTTGCCACTACAGTAGACTCCACCTAATCGGATATCGGCTAAACGAATATATCGGCTATTGTAATATTATTTCAAAACACCAAACCCTTCCCTATATGTTTAATGTTAATTTCATCGTGTAATCGAATATCGGATATAAGAATATATCGGCAAATAGGATAAAAATGTTTAGGAAATTTTGTTCAAAACTATGCACAATCGGATATTTTCAATATTTTTCTGACAGGAAATGGACCCCGAAGTTAATAAATTACAATCTTGCAGACAAGAAAATTTAGTTTTCATTAAATAATAAAATGCTTCGCTGGGCGCAGCTTGATACGACCGCAGAGGTCGAACCCTGAACAGTTGGGGCAAGTATGGACACAACATTCAAGCTTGATACAGCTCTGAATTTGGATTGTGATTAAATATTTGACACAGCATAGGTTTCTGACACAGAAAGAATGTGGTCTAAGAACTTCAATTTTTTTAATTTACCTATTATGGTCCAATGTCCAAAATCAAAATACATGGTTAGATTCAGCATATCAAAGAACCCCATATATTCAATTTTTGTTGAAATCAAACAAAGTTTAATTTTGGACCCCAACTTGGACAAACTTGAAAACTGGTCCCATAATCAAAAATCTAAACACATGTTTAGATTCAGCATATCAAAGTACCCGAAGAATTCAATTTTTGTTAAAATCAAACTAAGTTTAATTTTGGACCCTTTGGACCTTAATGTAGACAAATTTAAAAAACGGGACCCAAAATTAAAAATCTAAAAACACGGTTAGATTTGGCATATCAAAGAACCCCAATTATTCAATTTTTGATGAAATCAAACAAAGTTTAATTTTGGACCCTTTTGACCTCAATATGAACCAATTTGATAGCGGGCCCACAAATAAAAAATCTAAATACATGGTAAGATTCAGCATATCAAAGAACCCCATATATTCAATTTTTGTTGAAATCAAACAAAGTTTAATTTTGGACCCCAATTTGGACCAACTTGAAAACTGGGCCAAAAATCTAAAATCTAAATACATGTTTAGATTCAGCATATCAAAGAACCCCATATATTCAATTTTTGTTGAAATCAAACAAAGTTTAATTTTGGACCCCAACTTGGACCAACTTGAAAACTGGTCCCATAATTAAAAATCTAAACACATGTTTAGATTCAGCATATCAAAGAACCCCAAAAATTCAATTTTTGTTAAAATCAAACTAAGTTTAATTTTGGACCCTTTGGACCTTAATGTAGACCAATTTAAAAAACAGGACCCAAAATTAAAAATCTAAATACACAGTTAGATTTGGCATATCAAAGAACCCCAATAATTCAATTTTTTATGAAATCAAACAAAGTTTAATTTTGGACCCTTTTGACCTCAATATGAACCAATTTGATAGCAGGCCCACAAATAAAAAATCTAAATACATGGTAAGATTCAGCATATCAAAGAACCCCATATATTCAATTTTTGTTGAAATCAAACAAAGTTTAATTTTGGACCCCAATTTGGACCAACTTGAAAACTGGGCCAAAAATCTAAAATCTAAATACATGTTTAGATTTTGCATATCAAATAACCCCATATATTCAATTTTTGTTGAAATCAAACAAAGTTTAATTTTGGACCCCAACTTGGACCAACTTGAAAACTGGGCCCATAATCAAAAATCTAAACACATGTTTAGATTCAGCATATCAAAGAACCCCAAGAATTCAATTTTTGTTAAAATCAAATTAAGTTTAATTTTGGACCCTTTGGACCTTAATGTAGACCAATTTAAAAAACGGGACCCCAAATTAAAAATCTAAATACACGGTTAGATTCGGCATATCAAAGAACCCCAATAATTCAATTTTTGATGAAATCAAACAAAGTTAAATTTTGGACCCTTTGGACCTCAATGTGGACCAATTTAAAAACGGGGCCCAAAATCCAAAAACTTAATACACGGTTAGATTCAGCATATTAAAGAACCCCAAGAATTCAAGAATAAAACCCCATTGAAATTGATCAAGAAATAAGCAATTTATACGAAGTATCTTCTTTTGCACAACACTGTGCAATTGAATATTTCTTGCTATTGCGCAATACTGTACAATTGACAATTTCTTGCTATTGCGCAATATTGTGCTATTGGATATTTCTTGCTATTGCGCAATACTGTGCAATTGAAGATTTCTTGCTATTGCGCAATACTGTGCAATTGAAGATTTCTTGCTATTGTGCAATACTGTGCAATTGAAAATTTCTTGCTATTGCACAATACTTATTATATAATAATTTACACATCCTGTTTGGTGTGTATCTCCTACCATATCATTATTATTTGCTTTTAAATATAAATCAGAAATAATCAACTTAAAATGGAAAATTTTAAAAGAAAAAAAAAAGGAAAAAAAGAAAAAAAAAAAAAAAAAAAATCTCCCCCCCCAAATTTTTTGAACCCCCTTATGATTCATCACCCCCAAACTCAATCCCAGCCTTCCCTTTGTGGTATGGTACCTTGCAGTACAATTTCAGAGAGATCCATACACTTGAACACAAGTTATTGTCTGGAAACTAGAAAAATGCTTATTTTTGGCCCCTTTTTGGCCCCCAATTCCTAAACGTTTCGGGCAATTACCCCCAAACTCAATTCCAGCTTTCCCTTTGTGATATGGAACCTTGTAGTACAATTTCAGAAATATCCAAACACTTACACACAAGTTATTGTCATGAAACTAGAAAAATGCTTGTTTTTTGCCCCTTTTTTGGCCCCTAATTCCTAAAATTTTGAGGCAATTACCCCCAAAATCAATTACAGCCTTCCCTTTGTGATATGGAACCTTGTGGTACAATGTCAGAGAGATCTATACACTTACACACAAGTTATTGTCTGAAAATTACAAAAATGCTTATTTTTGGCCCCTTTTTGGCCCCTAATTCCTTAACTGTTGGTACCATAACCCCCAAAATCAATCCCAACCTTCCTTTCGTGGTATTGAACCTTATGGTGAAATTTCATGGAGATCCATTCACTTAAACTAAAGTTAGAGTGCGAAAACCAATGTGTCTTCGGACGACGCCAGACGACGCCGGACGACGACGACGACGACGACGACGACGACAACGACGACGACGACGACGACGACGACGCCAACGTCATACCAATATACGACCAAAAATTTTTTAATTTTTGCGGTCGTATAAAAAGGAACCATGTACTTGTAAATCCTGCTACATAGCAGAGATACACCAAATGCCAATATTAAAGTCTTGGGGTTTACCATACTAGAAATCAATGCAAAATCCTTAAACATTCAAGGCAAGATATGTTTTAAGGGTCAAACAATAACTTTTTTCTTAAAGAAATACCAATCTTATATAAAAAAAAAATTGTCACAGAAATATCGAAAAATTTGCATTTTTTCACAGCAACTGTATTGAGAGTATTTCTTCCAAGAAAGACAACTTTTGTTAAATAAAGTAAAAACTCTTGGAAGAAAGTGAAGTTTAAATAAAGTTTAATTGCACTGTTAATAATGATAAATCTAAGTCCAGCACTTTGTTCTTAGCATAACGAAGCACCAAGGAATCATAGGAATATCAGAGATTCATTCCATCAACACCTTTCAACCTAAAATCTGATTAGTTAGCTATCTAGTACACTATCCAACCAATCTTCTAAATCGTTTTCTGAAAAAAAGAAAAGAAAATCAACTTGAATAATCTCCCTTTATTCTTGCATATAATTGACTTGATGTTGCAACATTTCATCTTATTTTTCATGTTGTTTTATACTATTTAATACCAATTTATGCATTTATACCATCTTATGATGGTCAGTTATCAATTTTGTAAGGAAATCAGCCTTTATTATAAATTGCTAGTGATTGACAAATTATTGTCACAACACTGTTTTTTCCTCACACAGAATGTGTTCAACTGTCATATATGGAAGATACATCTGAATGTCAATTTTAGAAATATTTGAAATAATATTAATATTACTGTAAAGTAAGATGAAGTACCAAAAAACTGATATGAGAGTGTATCAGCACATCTTGTATTTGATGCAGACGAATAAACCTCACATTTTTGCACATTCTTAGGACACAATAGACTATTTTCATATTACCGACTTGTGACTCCAGATTATATAATTTGTCGACTGGTTACCTTGGACATCACGGTACCAAGTCTGGTAAGAGCAAGCTAAAGAAGTAAATCTAAGCTTTCAATCGGTACAATTTTGGGGGAAAATTACCTGCTTAACATTTTTATTTCACTACAAAATCATCGGAAAACAGTAAACTTTCCCCTCAAATTACACCGATTATATGTTTGATTTTACTTATTTTGGTTGCTCTTACTTGACCGAGTACCATGATGTCCAAGGTAACCAGTCGACAAATTATATAATCTGGAGTCAAAAGTCGGTAATATGAAAATAGTCTATTCTAGATTTTTAATACAGTCAGAATGTTATTTTGGTATTTTCTTTTTTTTTTTCTTTTTCTGTTTTTCATTTATAGTTTGTACAGTTTGTTTATTTTAGGTTATTCCTTCATTCTCTTTTAATCAACCTTTTATAAAAATCAGTTGAGGAAACTACCGCATGTATGTCATTTTATATGAAATTTTTATCAAAATTTTATTATTATCTTCACTTTGCTATGTATGGTAGAGAACATTAATAATTTGTCTAGCAATCCAGGAATGGAAATGTCTGTACTCCATGTTTGATGAAGCTGTAGCATACCTTGTGTACCTGATGAGGATTTCTTGTTAGACTCTAAGGTTTCTTGTTTTACTACTGGTTTCTGTTTCTCTTGGATCCCTATGTAAAAAAACAATATTTCCTCAAAGGAAAATAGAAGTGGATGATGTGTAGGGGAAGTAACTCTAGCACATTTGAAAGCTAAACAAATGACAAATTTGGAACAGATTCAATGAAATCTTTAAACAAATAAACTGCACATCTTTAGAAATAAGCGTGTAATTTTTTTCTTCTTCAAAATACAGTTTGTCTACTTTTGTTTGTACATATTATGCCTGTTTGATATTATTTGCTAAAAATAATAGCAATTTTTAATAAAAAGAAGAGTTTTCATAGGCAAATTCAACTCCATATATTTGCCTCACTTAAGTAATAAACTTCTAGGAAAATAAAATTGAAACTCACCGAGATAACCTTATACCACAAATACATGTATGGTACAGTTTATTCATTACAAAACAAATACAACACAAGTGTATGAATTCACAAAATTTATCAACAGCCATTATTACCACAAAATTATATTGATCTAAAAAATTGCTAAATATAACGTTAGTTCTTCACATAACTTAAAAATATATGGCTGACATATACATCTTAAAATATCTGATACAGGAGTTTTCAAGCAAACTGAAACAGTAATTTTTAGAAGTTATAGTAAGCTGTTTTTTCTACTGATTTCAGGTACTGTAAACAAACTTATTTTTGCAGATACTTTATTTCGCATTTAGCCCTCTATTCCACTTTGCAGCGATGTTCTACTTTTATTGATGTATTTATATAAGAGAAGATCAAAGTTTAACATATTCGCAACGATTTATATTCACATTATTTTATCTACTCACGAAAGTCCTGAAAATAAATCGCTTGCTAAATTGGTTGGTTTACAGTATAAGATCGATGTTGCAGGGTTCTTTTATATAAACAACAATCCAAACCACAGTTAAGAGTAAAACATTTTTTACCTGAAGAAAGCAAATCATCTAAATCATTCTCCAGAGTCGAAACTGTTTCACTCTTTTGTTTCTTTGACAATGATTGTTTGTTTACGTCTGATGAAGGATCCAATACCACAGAATCTAATAATTCATCTAAAGCATTAGATTCTAATGTTAATGATTCGTTTGACCTTCTTCCTGTCTTTTTTACAATACTGTTTTCAATTGTCTTTATATCTTCGGAAGATGAAACTAAATTTGAAGATTTATTTCCAAGTTTTTCTGTATATTTTCTCTGGTTTTCTGTCGATCTTCTGTCAAATTCTTCTATCTGCTCAGCCTATTGTAAGATCAAACAAAACATTAAAAATATATTTACTTTAACACATTTATCCGTTTACTGTGGGTTCATTATTATTCATGGGATACAAACTTTCGTGGATTTCATTGGTATAGGTCACCACAAATTTAAATGTTTAAATAGATACACATTTTCTAAAGATTAGTATACAAGACCACAAAAATCAAATATCCATGAAAACATAAGTTTTCTTCAATTTATAAAAATTGGTATCCACAAAAATAAATGAATCCAGAGTATTACAGAATAAAATGTTTCGCTGGGCGCAGCTTGATACGACCGCAGAAGTCGAACCCTGAACAGTTGGGGCAAGTATGGACACAACATTCAAGCTTGATACAGCTCTGAATTTGGATTGTGATTAAATATTTGACACAGCATAGGTTTCTGACACAGAAAGAATGTGGTCTAAGAACTTCATTTTTTTTAATTTACCTATTATGGTCCAATGTCCAAAATCAAAATACATGGTTAGATTCAGCATATCAAAGAACCCCATATATTCAATTTTTGTTGAAATCAAACAAAGTTTAATTTTGGACCCCAACTTGGACAAACTTGAAAACTGGTCCCATAATCAAAAATCTAAACACATGTTTAGATTCAGCATATCAAAGTACCCCAAGAATTCAATTTTTTTTTTAAATCAAACTAAGTTTAATTTTGGACCCTTTAGACCTTAATGTAGACCAATTAAAAAAAACGGGACCCAAAATTAAAATCTAAAAACACGGTTAGATTTGGCATATCAAAGAACCCCAATAATTCAATTTTTGTTGAAATCAAACAAAGTTTAATTTTGGACCCCAATTTGGACCCCAATTTGGACCAACTTGAAAACTGGGCCAAAAATCTAAAATCTAAATACATGTTTAGATTCAGCATATCAAAGAACCCCATATATTCAATTTTTGTTGAAATCAAACAAAGTTTAATTTTGGACCCCAACTTGGACCAACTTGAAAACTGGTCCCATAATCAAAAATCTAAACACATGTTTAGATTCAGCATATCAAAGAACCCCAAAAATTCAATTTTTGTTAAAATCAAACTAAGTTTAATTTTGGACCCTTTGGACCTTAATGTAGACCAATTCAAAAAACAGGACCCAAAATTAAAAATCTAAATACACAGTTAGATTTGGCATATCAAAGAACCCCAATAATTCAATTTTTGATGAAATCAAACAAAGTTTAATTTTGGACCCTTTTGACCTCAATATGAACCAATTTGATAGCGGGCCCACAAATAAAAAATCTAAATACATGGTAAGATTCAGCATATCAAAGAACCCCATATATTCAATTTTTGTTGAAATCAAACAAAGTTTAATTTTGGACCCCAATTTGGACCAACTTGAAAACTGGGCCAAAAATCTAAAATCTAAATACATGTTTAGATTCAGCATATCAAAGAACCCCATATATTCAATTTTTGTTGAAATCAAACAAAGTTTAATTTTGGACCCCAACTTGGACCAACTTGAAAACTGGGCCCATAATTAAAAATCTAAACACATGTTTAGATTCAGCATATCAAAGAACCCCAAGAATTCAATTTTTGTTAAAATCAAACTAAGTTTAATCTTGGACCCTTTGGACCTTAATGTAGACCAATTTAAAAAACGGGACTCAAAATTAAAAATCTAAATACACAGTTAGATTTGGCATATCAAAGAACCCCAATAATTCAATTTTTGTTGAAATCAAACAAAGTTTAATTTTGGACCCCAACTTTGACCAACTTGAAAACTGGGCCCATAATTAAAAATCTAAACACATGTTTAGATTCAGCATATCAAAGAACCCCAAGAATTCAATTTTTGTTAAAATCAAACTAAGTTTAATCTTGGACCCTTTGGACCTTAATGTAGACCAATTTAAAAAACAGGACCCAAAATTAAAAATCTAAATACACAGTTAGATTTGGCATATCAAAGAACCCCAATAATTCAATTTTTGATGAAATCAAACAAAGTTTAATTTTGGACCCTTTTGACCTCAATATAAACCAATTTGATAGCGGGGTCCACAAATAATAAATCTAAATACATGGTTAGATGCAGCATATCAAAGAACCCCATATATTCAATTTTTGTTGAAATCAAACAAAGTTTAATTTTGGACCCCAATTTGGACCAACTTGAAAACTGGGAAAAAAATCAAAAATCTAAATACATGTTTAGATTCAGCATATCAAAGAACCCCATATATTCAATTTCTGTTAAAATCAAACAAAGTTTAATTTTGGACCCTTTGGACCTTAATGTAGACCAATTTGAAAACTGGACCCAAAATTAAAAATCTAAATACACGGTTAGATTCGGCATAACAAATAAATAAATGTGGTCAAAGATTTTACAAATCTAATGCGCCATACTGGTCTTCCTTTATAAATATGCATTTCTTTAAACATAATTTAAAAGCAGTGTAAGGGAAGTAACCAAAACGTTGTATTTGGATTACCTCCCTTACACTGTTTTAAATTATCTTAATTGTTTATTAACCATTACTTTATACATAATTTAAAAGCAGTGTAAGGGAGATAATTTCAATGATGTATTTGATTTATCTCCCTTACACTGCTTTAAATTATGTTTTGTACTAAAGTATTTGTCCATTAATGAGGACAACCTTTTTTTTCCCCCTTTTTTCCCCTAATTCTTAAACAGTTTGAGCAATAACCCCCCAAAGCAAATCCTAACCATCCCTTTGTGGTATGGAAACTTGTAGTATAATTTCAGAGAGATCCATACACCGTTCCACAGTTATTGTCTGGAATCTAGAAAATGCTTATTTTTGGCCCCTTTTTGGCCCCTAATTCCTTAACTGTTGGTACCATAACCCCCAAAATCAATCCCCACCTTCCTTTTGTGGTATTGAACTTTATGGTAAAATTTCATAGAGATCCATTCACTTAAACTAAAGTTAGAGTGCGAAAACTAATGCGTCTTCGGACGACGACGACGCCAACGCCAACGTCATACCAATATACGACCACAAAATTTTTTTTGCGGTCGTATAAAAAACAGGTATGGTGATCTAAAGAAGCTGATCAAGGATTGACCAAGAAAAGTTGAATTATCTTAATTTATTCAATGATTGTTACACAAAACGACCTTAAAGAAATGCAGGGCTAAAAACTTGCATACCTGACAAGTTCATAGGTGAGACAGCAATAGTAATTTTCCAATTTCAATTTTCTTGACATTTTCCCTAGATTCTATCTTTGTCATGTTTATGCTATATTTCCAAATGGTTTAAATTTGTTATTATAACTTATATTATCCAATGCCTATCAGTCAACTAATCAAATCCTCTGGTGTCATTTAGACAAGATGTCTTCACACTGCTACTATTTCAATGGAATTTTTTTACAAGACTGGAATAACACAACAAATAAATGGGGAGTATAATCAGATTATCAATTCCAATGCTCTGTTGCCTTGTAATATAAAAATAAGATGTGGTATGATTGCCAATGAGACAACTCTCTACCACAGACCAATTGACATAGTAGTTTACAACTATAGGTCACCGTACAGCCTTCAACAATGAGCAAAACCCATACACAAAGTCAGCTATAAATGGCCTACTGATTTATATGTGGATTGGATTGGCCTATTTGAATTTCAAATTCAAAGAGCATATCAATGTTTAAAGCAGAACCTAGATGGTTGTGTATAAAATAAAACCAATTCTTACTAAGGCATATCATTTTAACCCTACAAATTGGTGAGTTAGAACATATGATGCAACCAGTTGTCCATTATTGGAGATTGTATGGTGATATTTATAAATATATTTTTAATTGACCAATAACCCCACATCTACTTTAATTTCTACACAATACTGGATTTTTTTCTGGTGATGAGCTAAATCAAACTAGATCTTAACAACTGTGGAATAAATGTCACTCTATCAAAATGAACATATGAAATATAACAGACTACACTCATTAAAGTAAGTTTATTTCAGGACAACTACTAACTGAACTTCCAGTTTTGTTATTAAAAGTGTAATTGAAAATGACAGAACAGTAAAAAATGTTTAGTTATTGTAATTTTAACAAAGCATAAAAGAAAAAAAAATAAATAAAAAGAAAAATACCTCATATTAGCTGTCTACAGTACAAATTTGATTTAAGAGAATCAAAATTAGTTTTATATAAGAAATCTATCAAAACATAAAAAATAAAAATACCTCATATTAGAGGTCTTTGACAGTATAAGTCTAATTTTAAAGAGAATCTAATTTTTTTACTTACAGTAAAAAGATCTTTGTTCAATCTGAGAACTTTGTACAAAGGGACACAACCCAAACTTGATGACAGATCTTGTAAATCTAGAGAAAGAATATCTGATTGTTCAGAAGGAACCCAGTCTTCCTCTTCTTCTTTAAATCTGAACTGTGATGTAGAACTACCTGAAATATGAAAAAAAAAATCACATATTTATTTTCTCACTGAGAATCTAAAAGTATGATCTTGAATTGGCAATTAGGGAAACTGAATGAAATTATTGAACAATCAGTTCACATGTTAATTTTTAAGTCCAGAAGGTTTTAAACTCTTCATTTTTCATACATTGTATATTGTATTCTGCCACTGTTTTTGTTTTTATTATTTAACTGCATGTAGTAGCTAAATTTCTTACAAAAGGTAAAATCTATTCAAATTCTTGTTAAGATATTCGGAAAAATATTTATGTTGAAACCAAAACTAAGATAAGTCTTTGGTAAAAAAATACTTGAATACTGTAAATTCAAAAATGATTGCAAGGTTTTTATTAATGCGAATAATGCAACTGGGTGAGTATCGCAATATTCATAACTCGCCTTCTGATAACTGATACATATATCTGCATGCAGATTTTTTTGAGATTGCAACAATAAAACATATTTTTGTCCATTTGACAAAAGTCGCAATAATAAATGCCTGCAATAATTTCTGAATTTACAGTAGATATTTATATTGATTTTATAACACCTAACAATTTCTAAAATAGTTCTTGATAAAATTCTAATCACATAACATAATGCAAGGAAACGGATGAATACAAGAATGGTTTGTGTGCATGTAAAACTGGTTTAATCCCACAACATTTTGTGCCTGTACCAAGTTACGTTATATGGACCATGTGTTGTTCCCCTTTGTTTGTATGTTTATTTTTCAGAGGAGGCAGGAATTAGTGGTTGGTTTGGTATGTTTTGCTGTACAATATTGTTGTCAATTTCTGTCCTCCTTTTATGTATTTTTTATACTGTGAAAATAATGGCACACACAATCTTTTCCACATCTTTCTTATAAAGTAACACAAATCATGACTCTTTTTTTTGAACTGATAATAATATTGCAGAATTAAACGGAAGTATACTTTGGTTTAAAATTGACAATTTTGTCCTGTTTTGTTCCTTATATGAAAATATGTGTACATATTTGGTATGTTTTATACATAAGCAAAAAATAATCTTTTGAAATTTACTGCAAATTGTCCCTAATTTACAACTGTAATTGATCAATAATATGACAAATTTTGTCTATTGCATGATTCGAATGTCAACCCAAAAAATCTTGTAAGCCAGTATTCTTTCATATTTTACCAGCAGATTGTAGTAATTTTGAGAAATTATCTCCCTTTGATAATATTGAAGATTCTTCTTCTGGAGGCAGTTCATATCTGTCCCAGTTACTGACCAATTTACGTCTTTGAAAACTGGTTTTTGTGGTACCAGTCCCATCATTTTCATCACTGCTCTGCAATAGAAAAAAAATAAGTGTGTACAAATTTAATCATTTTTACTAGTTAATATTGTATCAAGTTTTATTGACATATTCATATATACAAGAAACATCGATAAACCTACATTTTGCACTTTCAATAGATATAGGAAAATGTGGTATGAGTGCCAATGAGACAAGTATATTAATAGATTAACAGTGGGTTATAGATTAATAGAAAATGAAAACAAATTTAAAACAAATAAACTATTTTCTAATATAAGATCATTATTAGGCTATTATCATAAGTGTTATACCAGTATATGAACTGAATTACTTGATATTTCATTTATATGTCATTAAATAGCCATTGTTTCCTACCTAAGATACCAATGTATTATCCGCAATATAGCTTTCGTGATTAATGTTTTACTGTGCTTAACTATACAATGAATAAACAGGTCTAGGAATTTTATGTGTGTCCTTAGGCCTCCAATACCCTCTTCGAATGGCTGTTAAAAATGAAAATCATATTTCTATCTGTATGTTATTTGTGAACAAGAACCATTTTATTGCAGCGAAATAGTATTTTTCTTCTAAAAAAGAAGATTGAATATAACTCCAATGAACAACCTCACTAGTAATTTTAAGTATCAGAAAACAGGAATATGTGTCTGACAGTTTCGAAAAGCCCTCAGACATTACAACTCACCATTGTTGAAATTTCTCCTTTTCAACCTTTAAACATTTTACTTTTTAACTTACCTCACTACTATCAGATAAGTTTGCTTTAGTTTTATGTCTGTCTGCTGTCTTTGTTTGCTCCCCCTTTGAAGCATCAGGCCTATATGGCTGTTTTGAACCTTCTGCTTTCCCGTCTCTTTTATCTTTAACATCTTTATTTTTCTCTGTCATCCCATGTTTCTTTTTATACTGGGTATTTTTTTTCTGTTTGTGTTGGTCAGGTCTCATTTTTAGGGTTTACAAGAAAATCTAAAAAAGAAAATATACATCACATGATGAAATGTCTTAAGCAAGCACGTAAGTAAAAACAATACTATGACACGCCTGTTCAACCCTTGTAGTGATTTTGTATACATTAACTGTGTTTCAAAATACAGTTGCTCATTAGCCAAAATTGAAATTTAAGTGCTTGTCAGTGCTAAAGGGTAAACATTCATTTTGAAGTGGAAACTACTAAAAATTAGACATTGCATTGTTTGTACTGTTGAACTGTAGCTTTTCTTTTTTGTCATGGTATAGTGTGTTTTTTTCCCAACTTAAGACTCTAGAGGTATTGTAATATCTGTGATTACTCCGGGAAAGTTCTACACAAACCTTTGGGACATTAACGTCGCTACGAGGATACGGATTGTATTTTGTTAGTCATTATTAAAATACCATCTGAATAATCAAGTCTTGCTCCGATCTTTCAATGGCAACGAAGATTAAAAACAAAGAAATTAGCAGAGATTAGCAGCGTTAACAAAGAAGAAAGATAAGGGAAGAGAGAATTCAAAAGAAGATAAGGCTAAAACAGAGATTATGGACAGAGGAGAGCCCCAGAGGATAACGATAGTTACAGAAACCAGGAATTTACGCTCACAACCATTTATAGCATCAGACGATCAAATATCCACAGGAAAACAATGGGAAGAATGGCTGGAGAGTATAGAGAGGGAATTTAGATATTTTAGAATAACTGAACCTGAAGATAAAAAGGATGCTCTAATCATTTTTGGAGGAAAAGACATAGCAAGACTAGAAAGAAGCCTGAGAAATGAAGAAGGAGAAGATGAATACAAGATATTAAAGAACAAATTAAACAAATTTTATATGCCAAAGAGTAACAAGCATCATGCCAGGTATTTATTTTTGAAAATGAAACCACTAAGAGATGAAAATACAGTGACGTATGTAACAAGGCTCAGAGAAAAGGCGAATGAATGTGAATTTGAAGCAACTTGTGATGAAAGAATATTGGAACATTGTATTCAGACTATAAACAATCAGGAACTGATAAAGAGGACAATAAGCAAAGGTTGGACTCTGGATATATTTGTTGAAGAAGCGGGACAAATAGAAGACACTTGCTTACAGATGAAGGACATGAAAGGAGATCACAGCAATTACAGCATAAGTTCAGCAAATAAAATACAAAGCAACAGATCAAGCAACAGATCACAGGATTTTAAAGAAGATAGATTTCAACAAAATGGTAGAAATATGATGACAAATGCTAATTGTAGTTATTGTGGACTTGACCATGGTGACGAGAGAAGATGTCCAGCATATGGTAAACAATGTAGAAATTGTGAACGGTATAATCATTTTGCATCAGTATGCAGAGCAGAAAAGAAAGAGCAAGTAGGATATAATAGTCAGCAACAGAACAGATCTGTCAACTATAGAAATAGAAGAAATGTGAAGAAAACAACAGAAGAGGCATATGAAACCGATTCAAATACAGATACATCAGACTATGAAGAAGATGAAGATTATTTTGGAGAAACTATCAAGCACATGAGGAAAATACGCAAAGTGAAGACCATACAAGGAATAAAAGAGATTGAAAACTGTAATAAGAAACGAGACATGTGGTACAGAGACAAAATTTATTTATGTTAAGGGAGAAATCAATTCTCCACCATTGATAAGCAAATCAACCCTTATTGAGCTAGGAATGTTACAGATAAGAGCTGATGTTTCTTTTGCAAAACCAAATCACTTGAAGATACCAGACACAGAAAAGGATATAATGATAGTTACAGAACAGGACAGAGTTAAAATTAAACACATCAAAATAACAGAACAAAAAGAAAATCTACGAAAGAACGAAAGTGTAACAGCTACACAGGAGATGTTTATTGGTAATCGTTCAACACCAGCTACAAGCAGGGCTCGACAATAACGCTTGTCCGATACCAGAGGAAAAAAAGGTCGGACAAGTAAAAGTTATATCAAGCTTGTCCGATGGGACAAGTAAATTTATTCTGCATAAAATAAATTTAATATAACTTTGATGAACAAAGTAATTATAAACAAAAAACAAGAAAAGAAGATAAAAACAAGTATTAATTTGACATGTTTACTTGCAATCGATAATTTAAAACTGGTTCTTTGTCAGGTACTTTTTAACAGGTAAAAGGCAAGGCATACTATTATCAGAAACCAGTCTTACTGATCCAAATCAGCGGCGCTTTGTAGATACATAACTTTACAAGACAGTTCTCACCAGCTTGGAACCGATTCCGCTTCAAGTTTAATAGACAGTTTGGCACCGTAGGAGACATATTTAATAGACATGATAAATAGACAGTTTGGCAAGGCAGGAGAAATTTCAAATTTCGGGACCAAGACAAATCAGTACCTCGTTTTCCTACCTTGATTCTGTTGCTTTATAATAAATACCAAACCAGTAATTTTTTAACAAAAATATTTTTTAAATAAAAATGAAGAAATAATTTACCATAAATTTCACAAAATCATATTTGATCATATGTAGAAAAAAAAAACAATACTTGCTATACTGTGACCTATAGTTGTTAATTTCTGTGTCATTTGGTCTCTAGCAGAGAGTTGTCTCATTGGCAATCATACCTCATCTTCTTTTTTATATTGATTGCATTTGAATAAATTTTTTTCAGCTTAAAAAAACAGGATACAAATCCAATGAGTGTACATTGACAGGCCTATCAGACAGTGCCTCATGTGCAGAGTCTGATGAGACTTTGGCATCGATGAAAACTAGAACCTTAAAGTCCTGTGACATGACTAGATTCTGTTGTTCTCGACTCATATTTTTATATATATTTATATTTCATATTTGAAAAAGTATATCAAAAGATATAAAACTAACTTCTGTTATATTGTTTTAATTCATTTTGTTCCTTGAATGATGACAACTTAAAATGCAAAAAAAAGGTTATTATTAAGATTTTTTTTTGGACAAGTTACAAAAAAAGTTATTGTAGAGGCCTGCACAATACAAAGCCCTAATAAACAGACCCATTAGGACACAATTAAGAGTTTAAACCGAGAACTACAGACAAGAATGAAAACTTAGATGATGATATAAATGAAGGAGACAGACGATACAAGAAGATGAAGAAAATGGGCCCCCCGCAAGACAGGCGCAGGAGGGGGCAGAGGACAAAAGAAATGGGCCCCCCGCAAGACAGGCGCGGGAGGGGGCGGATAAAGACTTTGGAAAACCAGAGGCAAAAGTCAGGAAAAATCAAGCAGAAGAACGAAATGATAAACCAAAAGGAGACCGACTCAAATAAGTGAACATTACAGAGACTAATATACTGTAAATTCAGAAATTATTGCGATGTTTTTATTATTGCGAAAAATGCGACAGGGTTATCATCGCAATAATTAAAACTCGCAGTTTGAAATTTTTTATATGAATCAAACAGGATTTTTCTGAATATCGCAAAAATTAAAATCGCATTTTAGTCTAAAATGACAAAATCGCAATAATAAATGCACGCAATAATTTCTGAATTTACAGTAATCCAATTCATTTATACAAATTGAGAATGTGAACATTATCCTTATTACAAAAACATAGGTGAACATTACAGAGACTGTGATAATTGAATTCAGATAAGCAAACTTTATTTTACACATTTTAATTTACATTTATATAGTTATTTTCTAATTCAAAGTTAAGGAGGATTGTAATATCTGCGATTACTCACAGCTATCTTCCATTAGTGACATCTGAGGAATGTCACAGGAGATTTGCATGCATGTACAACAAGACAAAGCGTCAGCTAAGCAGACATATTTACATGTAAAGATACCACGATGTTGATGAAATATTTACACGATACTAATTTTTTTGGTAAGGAGAGATTACGATGCGATTCAGACGAAGCCTTTCAAGACGTCATTTTTATTTGGACTAAATCTCATCAGGCTCATGCAGATGTGGGGTGCTTCTACTTCTACCGGATAATGGCCACAATCAACAAACTGAATATTTTGACACACTTCGGTGAGCATACGGACCCCTCCCCCCTCCCCCATAATGTTTGAATTTAGTTCAGCTTTGTCAGCAAGGCTTTGATAGCCTCGACTGACGGTGCTGATACAACCCCAGGAACGAGAGTGTTCCAATCTCTGATGGTTCGTGGAAAGAAAGAATATTTCCTGTAATCACTTGATGATGGCTTGATGTTGGAAATTTATTATTTGGAAGCTTCTGTCGAATACATCATGTATGAGAGAATTCTGTCTAGGATTAGTAACATGGGTAAGGGACCCCTAAGCCTAGGCATACCGTGAAATAACTCTCAGATCAGTGCAATCTGTTGTACTATCCAATTTTTAAGTTAGTTCCTATAATTTATTGTTTTCATGTATAATGTGAATAAAATTTACCAACTTACTTTAGCAAAGGGCACCTGTTCGGTAAATATAAATATAGGAATGAATAATTTTGGCTTCATGGCAACAAAACTATGATTTGTTACTTTAAAAGAGATTAGTGGACACCGATCAATAAATTTTGACTTGAAGAATTTCTTTATCGATGTACATTTATCAGTAAGATAGACATAAACTATCCTGTTCAATAAAGTGCATTTTAAATTTTGTTTCGTTTTGCAAAAGAATTCCACAAAAACCCGGTCAACTGGTTACCAGTCGTCGCATCGGATCCAGGTCAAGGTACGATTTTTACCTTATCTGGGGCATGGTTCGAGGAAGAAGCAGTCTTTTCTAGGGCTCAGTTCGATCAACGATCTTAAGTCTGTAAGTTTTAAATTATTACCTTAGCTTATGAAGCAAATTGAATAAAGGATGACTACTAGCCAAAAATCATGTACCTTCTACTGTTTAGTGTTGCTGTCAAATACACAGGTAGATTTTTTTTTGCGGTTCAGCACTCTTTAAAAAAATAATTAAGGGATTAAATAAAAAAAAAAATACATATCTAGTGTATATATGTCTCTGTTGACATTAATAAATTTACATTCGTCAATGCATATTTATTATCAATTTATCCTGGGACTAACAATATATACTTATAGTCTCAGATTTATCACTAAGTTAATAAATATTTAAAAAAAAAGATGCAATGGAATTCAATGGAATATATTTGTTGTGCTGATATATTTCTGTCTTTTGAAAAGGAAAATTCTCCTTTTCATTTTATATCTTCTCAGACTGCTCAAATAGGTATAAAAATAGGTATAAAATATGTTTCGTCTGACAATGCATATTTATTATCTATTTATCATGGATGATAAATATTTTTAAAAAGTACAATGGCAGATCTTTGATTGCATCTGTTAAATATATTCACAACTTTATAGACTTCATGATGGTACAATTTAGAGCTTTACATATTGTGTAGGTGTCACTGCAGTCATACCTTCATAACCCTTTTGATGTTTTTTTTATAGGGGTGATGTTTCATTGGCTTTAACCCACAACTCCTTTAAATTATAATTAAAGTTAAATCTGATACAAAAGGACAAAAAATGTGTATTTTGCTCTTATAAATTGTCTGCGTTAATGTGTTTTAAATATTTGACAGCCTCCCTGGTCTACATTGTAGGTTGAAGCATTCCAAATAGATAATGTAAAGTGTCATTTTCAAGGAGTGTATAAGCTTACTATTTTTAGGGTCAAACCTATCTATTATACAAGGGGATATTTTAAAGCTTTTATCTATTTTAATAGCAAAATTAGTTAAAATTAATCAGTTTAAGAAAATTTTCCACAAAACAATACTTTTTTTGAATTGGGTGGAAATATTAAAATAAAGCTTAAAAAGGGAGGCAGAAGATACCAAAGGGAAATTCAAACTCATAAATCATGTAAGTCAATGACAGACTGACATGGCTAAAAACAAACAAACCAAAAACTACAAGACACAGCATAGAAAACTAAAGACTGAGCACACATACTCCACCAAAAAACCAGGGATGATCTCGGAAGGGTAAACTCTGCAATTTACCTATTCAAAGTAGAAAATTTAATAAGTTAATGAAGAAGCTTTAAAAAAATATATGAAAATGAGAATATGATTGTTAATGAGACAACTTTCTTCACGTGACCAATGGACAAGGATATCGATGTAAACAGCTACCAGTCACTGTGTGGCCTTTGACAATGAGCAAAATTTGTTTTTTATTACATACCTTTATCTCACACAAGCATATATTATATGTATTTGAGGTTAATATCCATGTATGTCTGAACATTATTGACAATATGTTGCAGCATTATGAATAAGCTTGTTAATAAACAGGTTTATTTTTTACTTACACATGTACAAATATACATTAACCTAATTATCTAACAGGTTGGAAGCAACCTGTTACATGAGGAATAGTCCAGATAGCTATGAAGTAGGGTGGCTTATTCAAGACTACATTTTTTGTAGCTGGGACTGTGTGAAAAATAAATGACAATGGGTCTATTACAATTTTAAACAGAAATTTGCAGGCCTTTGAATTGAAAAATTTCTTTCCCCCTCCCTTCATCTCCAACTGAAAAACTTCTTCAACTGCGAGTTTTAATGTCATAAAATTAACGTTAAGACTAAAAGCCATATCTGATGTTGATGATCGACTTGAGTAATTTATAAATATACACACGATACATGCTCCTTACATATTATCACGTCAATTTCTACAATTTGTCTTTGTATACCATGTGTTGATTTTCACATGGCCTTATAAAGAAAATCAATACATGCAAGGGGATCAAGAAAGCCTTCTGTTGTCTCCCAGTGTTATGACTAAATTCATTAGGTTAAAATAACAATGTATTTAGTTCATTGTATGTATTTCCAATAGACAAACTTTCTTTTCAGACATTATTCTACACGTCTTGTAAAAGTTTGTTTGCATAGACCCTTTTGGTAGCCTTATACAATATAAGCTTTATGCTCATAAATTTCTTTTCATTAAAAAAATTCAATATTTCAGCTTTTTGTTAACACAGATGAATTATTACGTTCCTTTGAAAGGTTTTTTCAGCTTTTGTGTTTAAAGTTTAGGTTTTGAGCTTTTATTGCAAGATCGTGGATAAATGTTTATTCTTCAGTTACGTAGATATCCTTAACTGATAGTAAATTTTTATTTTGTGGGTATGAGTAGATTTTTTTTGTCTGTAATGATTCTTAAGAGTTCTTTTGTTCCTTCTTTTTATTTTTTCCAATAGACTGAAGTTTTAATTGTTAAATCATAAGATATCAGAAAGTAGGTCATTTATTGAAATTAACAGAAATTGTTAAAAAGTGTTTTATTCGGTTACACATAAATAAAATTTAAAATTTGTTTGATACTGTTTCCAAAATTAATTTTATTGGGTAGAGTGACCATTCTTGACTTGACTTATGGCAAAGTTATGATGTAATAGATGTACAATACAGGAATGTCTTGATGGTACTTGCAGAAAAGAGATTAATTGGCCAAAAAAAATAAGGAATACAGAAAAATAAAAATAGAAAATAATAGGGTGCTAAAATATAAAGAATAATGGGCAAAATTTATAAAGAAAAAAGAAAAATGGCTTATACCCTTCCACGTCCCGTCTGTGTTTTTGTTAGATGTTTTTCTGCTTTTTATCAATCTGATGAATTAAGCCCTTTTCAACTGATTTTTATACTTTTCACGTCGTCGTCCGAAGACACTTGGTTTCCGGACAATAACTTTAGTATTAGTTAATAGAAATCTATGAAATTTAAACACAAGGTTTATAACCACAAAAGGAAGGTTGGGATTGATTTTGGGGGTTATGGTCTTAACAGTTTAGGAATTAGGGGCCAAAAAAGGGGCCCAAATAAGCATTTTTCTAGTTTTCAGAAATAACTTGTGGAACGGTGTATGGATCTCTCTGAAATTGTACAACAAGTTTCTATATCACAAAGGGATGGTTAGAATTGGCTTTGGGGGGTAATGGCTCAAACTATTTAGGAATTAGGGGCAAAAAAGGGGGAAAAAACAAGGGTTTCCTTGTTAATGGACAATCACTTTTAAGTACAATGTTAAATTTGGATTACCTCCCTTACACTGCTTTAAAATTATGTATAAAGAAATTTTGTATTGTTTTGAGGTGATTAGCTGTCAATTTATTTTTTAGAAGTTACAAATAAAAATGCTGAATGTCTGTCAAATTTTTTTTCTAGAAAATTGTTTTGTTAAAAATTAGGCTGTTAGTTTTCTCAATTGTATTGTTTCATATTTTTTATGTTGGAGCCTTATATAGCTAAGTATACAGTATGGGATTTTCTCATAATTGAAGGCCCTACGGTTGTCTATAATTGCTTGCATCCACTTCACTTGAACTGGTGGATAGTTGTTTCATTGGCAATCATACCACATCTCTTTATTTTTAATATTAATAAAGAAGATCTCCTTATTTTATATAAAATGAAGAAAACGGAATTGAAGGACTCCCAATCTAGACCCTCATACAGGCTCTTTGGAGCATTATTATTATTTTTAGACTTTTTTAATAATAGATATTTGCTTCTTCTAAGCCAAGTAAAGCATTAAGGTCTAAGTCAGATAAAAAAGAACTGCATTAAGTCAGAATTTATTGTTGGGCAACATGTAAACTGTCAATGTGTCAGTCTAGAATAAAGCAGGATTCATACTTAAGTTTATGTGGGCGGAACCAATTTTCATGGATTCAGGAAAAAAATATTTCGTATATAGATATAAGAAGATGTGGTATGAGTGCCAATGAGACAACTCTCCATCCAAGTCAAAATTTATAAAAGTAAACCATTATAGGTCAAAGTACAGTCTTTAACACAGAGCCTTGGCTCACACCGAACAGCAAGCTATAAAGGGCCCAAAAAATTACTAGTGTAAAACCATTCAAACGGGGAAAACCAATGGTCTAATCTATACAAAAAACAAGAAACGAGAAACACTTATGAACCACATCAACAAACGACAACTACTGAACATCAGATTCCTGACTTAGGACAGGTGCAAACAATTGCAGCGGGTTTAAACGTTTTAATGGTGCCATACATGTACTTGAATTTCATGGTTTTCACAAATTCTACATACAAACTTTAAGGAAATTTGTATTCATTGAACTTTTAGATTTGTGGTATCTTGAATTTATTTTTATAAATTTTTTTTTTAAATAGTACCGTATGAATGTTTATGAATTCACAGTATATATCATGTATGAGCAATTTCTTGTCCTGAAATATATGGATTTTTAAACATCAATTCATCAATACAATGTAGCACTTGTCACTTGTGGTAGATTGTAAGTGACCTCTTTTATATTCAATTTTGCAGAGTTGTCAAAATCTCTTTTTCTCTGGTGGTATTTGAAGAAAATCTGCTGATCCTCACTAGTATTTCTATTGCAAAATAAATACCAAAATTGTGTCTATTCTTTGCAAAATTTCGGTTGTCAAAACCTTTGGACACCACTTTTCGAGAACTCTGATTTTGTTAACTTGTGTTTTTTTAAGTTGCTGTAACATTCAAAATTAAACCTTTTATTTAAAATGTTAATCAAACTGGTCATTATGGCGACAGTATTGGCTGGTTGTATTTGGAAACATTTGAAAAAATTTTAAAATGTGTTGCAAAAATGCTTTATGGCATAGTCTGTTCGAATGAGTTCTGTTTGCAGACTAAAAGGTTGAGTTCCTAAAAACTGTTTCAATATTAAAAATATTTTTTATGTGTCAGATTAGGAAACTTATCTGTAGTCTTTATTTGCACCAGGCCTTGTGGTCCTAAACATTTTGAATACAATAATCGTCTTCAGACTCAGAATGCAGCCATTCAAAATACTGGATTTGGTGTTTCAAGCACAAATTTTGTTCACTGAGTACTGAATAAAGTTAAATGACCGAGTGCCCTGGATGTTTTTTTTTCTAGAATCGACTTAAGAATCAATGGCAGATACATGTAGTTTCTGTTACATGTAAATTTATTCATAACTTGACTTGACCTGGGACATGTTGTTTAAACATATATGTTGACCTCATGGTGTCATTTTAGTTTGACTATTGTGACACCAGACAGCTGTAGCAACATACAGGGATCACATCTGTCATCTTTCTTGTCACATTTTGTTAATTTTCAAAGGTTAGTAACCGCTTGACAGAATTTCATCAAACTTGACCAGATTCTTAAATGGAAAAATAAGGTGTGCCTTTGCTATTTAATATTTTTATCTGTGATTTTTGGGTTTTTCAAAACATAAACATGGACTCAGTTTCTTTATTTGCTTCATTTTAAAAATGACTACAGGCCTTGTGGTCTTAAAACTTTCGAGTACAATTATTATACTCAGATCGTACTCAGACTCAGAAATCAACCAATCAAAATACTGGATTTGGTGTTTCGAGCACAATTTTTGTACTCCAAGTACTGAGTACAGTTTTATGACCAAGAGCCCAGATCTCAACCGAACTTGTAATCTTTTAGAGAACTTAAAGTTGTGCTATTGCTATTGCAATTTTAATTCTTTTATTTTAAGTGATTTATGGGGTTCCCTATACCAAAACATGGACAAAGTTAATTCAGCTTACATATATATCATTTTGAGAGTGAAGGCGATATATCACTTCTTTAAAAAACATGTACATTTTATTTTGTTTTTAACTCGCCTGCGATGAAAGTCACAGTATGAGAGACATAGGGATTACAATTATGCGGCAGCGGCAAGTATTTGTATAATGATTTATATTTCTGTAGCTATAAGACCTGGATGCTTCATACCTTGTATGCAAATACCTTATGTTACGAAGTTTGGGTCTGTCAAATGTCCGTAGTCCTTGACCTCATTTTCATGGTTCAGTGATGGCTTGAAAAAAAATTATTGTGCTTTTGAAAAGTGAAATACTCTCTTATTATGAGAAATAGGATAACTTTATTTGGTATATGGGTTCCTTGCAAGGTTTACATGTCCATCTGGTAGGGTTCACGTGACCTCAACCTCATTTCATGGATCATGAGTGATCAAGGTTAAAGTTATGTGGTCAAGTCTGTATCTCAGAGACTATAAGCAGTAGGTCAGCTATATTTGATGTATGGAATGATTGTAAGTTGTACATGTCTGTCTTGCAGGGTTCATATGACCTTGACCTCATTTCTTGGTTTATTGGTCAATGTTAAAATATTATGTTGATCTGTTTCTGCTATAAGCAATAGGACCACTGCATTTGGTGTTTGGAATGATTGTAAGGTGTACATGTTTGTCTGAAATGGTTCAGCTGACAGTGACTTCATTTTCATGGATCATTGATAATGTTAGTGATTGAGATACTTGATATTTGGTAAAATCAGACATTTCAGCATGTGCATTCTTATTTTTGGAAAGATTGAAACTATTGTCTTTCCTAAGGCGCAGGCCCTTCATTATACATCTCAATAAACAAATACTTGGTCTCATTATTGAATACACAGATGTATATATAAGATGTTTGATATTTGATATATATAGAAATGATAGATTTATTCATTGCCTATTACTTTTGATCTACACTACATAAAGTGATTCTATAAATTATGTCTGAAAGAAATGTGATTAAGGATTAACAAGATTTTTTTTCAAAAGAAGAGGCAAAACATTAAATCTACACATAAAAAAAGGTATTCAAGTATTGAATACAGGAAGTGTACTTTTGCAATTAAGAATGAATCACCATTTCAATAAAATAAGTTTTTTTTTATTTGTTTATGTTCAAAAGGTACATATTATCGGAATATATATTAACTTATAAATTGAATTGAAATACGCTCTACAACTTTTAATCTACAGTGTCATAATCATGATAATTGTTTTCAAAATCAATATGCAATTCTTAGAGGAGAAAAATAGTAAACCTATGTTTCAACTTACAACCTTAAAGCCTCAAAACAACCTTTTTAAATAAATTTTTGGAGACAATAAAGATCCTAATTTTAGTTTTAGATCTTAAAGTCTATCTTTTGTACCTATGTTTTACAAGGATAATTGATAAACTTTATTAGAAGAATCTTCATTTGGAAATTTATTCTGTTTCTAAAGATAAAACATAAAAGGTGAAACATGTAATGGGGAACAATATTTATACCCCACGCAAATTTTTTTATCGACAGGAATTTATGAATCAATTTTTTTTCCAGGAGTTACACCCCTTTGAACTTATTTGCCCAATATACTACTGCAACCTTTTGTCAATGCAACTCCTCTGAAACCACACAACAGAATTTCATGAAACTTTGTAGATAATAAGGACATACTATGTAGATTGACAGGAAATTATGATTCAATTTTTTTTTTCTTACACTTATTTTATTTCTCCAATGACAAAGTGGGGACATGGGGTATGTAAGCGCGCTCACTAAGGTTCTTTAATTGGTTGAGATATGAAATTGCAATTGAAACAAAATTCTTGTGCCAATTAAGGGACCCGCTATCATTGATTCACATAATTTATATTTTATCTACTGAAAAAGTGCATATCCTTCTAAAGACCTGCAGTTAATGCAATTGTCAGCAACAGTGCTATATTAATGTTCTTTTTTAGGGAAAGATTGCATGAAATGCAATCAAAACCCTATGGTACTGACTTGATATCTAAATCTTCCAAGGTTTATCACTACTTTTGAGATACACAAAATATAGTGCATTGATCATAACATTCTAAACATCCTATCCATGAACATTTCCAAAAATTTATCAATGAAATATATGCTCAGATATTCAAGTTACAAAATGATGTTATACTTGTCAAGAAAATTACATAACTTGTGAAAGGTGCAGGAATCTAATATCTGTTTTAAAAATATCAATGATGTCATTGTTAAAGTAATCTTTAAAATTAGAGTTATCTTCCTTTGTCTGTAATTGTAGTTGAATCAGCTACAACCAATGCTTTATACAATGCAATGTTTAATTTTATTTCCCTCTGATAAATAAAAGCAATCTTAACCCTTCAGTGCTTATAAGCACTTTGATTGTCCTCATCATACCTAAATGTAATTTGAAATTATTCAAACTACTCTTCCAATCTTTCCATGAGTGATCTGCATCACTTTGATGCTGAGGACAAAATTATTAGTACTTGTGTTTTTTGGTTTTCAAACCTACTCCTTTTTATGCCGAAAAATTTCTACTGTAAAGTTTTTATTGGTACTTTAGTGCAAATCTTGACCAAATAGCAAGTGGTCCACAGTGGTACCCATTCACCAAAAAAAATTGGCAAAATAAAGTAAAAAACTGGCTACCTGCCTACCCAATTTTTCTTAAGGAGGAAACCCTAATCACACATATTTTTGTGTGGCCTTGCTGCAGATTTCTTTGTACATGTATTTACTGTAGATTCGTTATTGTTCGTGTGGTACTAGTTAACATGTATGTAGATGACATATAATACATGTATATGTGAAGTTGAACCATAAATAAGTCTAAATTGAAAACAACGTTCAAACCTATGATTGCGTTGGATAAAAACCGCAATTTTATACGTGTGCATGCAAAACAAATTTCTTGGTAGGGGGTCTAAATACAGCACAAACAACATTTTCCAAAAGACCAAAAAAGTGAAAAAAGGTTATTTTAACAAAACGCATTTGACTAACAGGTCGAACAACAGATGTTCTTTAACCCTGCTGACTGCCATTGGCGATTGCCAAATAAATGGATCACAAGATGTAACAAAATGGATCTTTATTATTAATTTAATACCAAACAGAAAACAATAAACTTGCGGAAAAGATGGTATACTGCAAACATGAGGTGCAAAAATTTGTACACCATATCCGGATTTCGACAATTAATGTCTCTTCAGTGATGTTAGGAATCGAAATGGTATTTGGAAGGCCATATAATTTTACCTCAATTTAGGATAGACTCTTGAATTTTGAAGAGTTGGATAGGATGAACGGATCATATAAACCCGAAGGCAAATATAATACAAGCCCAAACGAAGTTGAACCATACACATATTAGTTTTTCTATCAAGAAAAATTAAAGTATTCAACAAATTAAAAATTGTTTAAACCATGAAATCAATGAGCCACTAAAATACATTTTTTTTAACCACTTAAAAAACAGAATATAAAGACAATATATATCTGATATGATTGCCAGTTGACGTTGAATATAGACTTTAATTTTATGATGAAAAATGTATATAAAGAACTTGCATAATTCGGAATTACAACTACGAAAAGATTATTTTTGTTGTGGTTATAACATTTTATGAGGACTCTTACTAGAGTAAGTAACTATCATAAAGTCTATCATAAAAATGGAAATTGATTGTATATGATTACCTGTACTATATTTTATTGCAGGGAGAAGTGAAATTGACAACATTTCTGGTCTAAACTTAAAAGATCTAGTTGTGGAAGAAGCCTTGTGATTTGTGTCAAAGGCATTTAGACTGCTGAGTTTAAAGAGGAGATTTGCCCTAAATGTTATTTTTCTGGTAGAGAGCCTAGAGAAGTATCATTTATTTGGAAAGATTATGGTTTGCAAAACAACTGTTACTAACTTATAGACAGTAGAAAGCTGAATACTTTGGCCTTGTCTGTCAGTTATTCCACAAATTCAGGAAGAGACTTTAGAACACAGACAAGTAGATCGTACGATAAATAAAGCTGTCCTACAACAAGTTTGAGGACAATGGCAGATAAAACAGGTAACAATGCCATAATTAGGTATTCATGTCGAGGTCATTGAAATTGGCTGTCGATCATGTCCATTGATAAAAATTGGTCACGAAAGTATTTAACCCATTGCTTACATGAACAAAATTTTGGCGATTTTCAAGGATTTTTCAATCATGACTTTAATTATATTAAATAAGCCTGTATGGTTTAAGTTTGACATCTTCCTCATAATTGTTGTCGATTAAGTTTTCAATGATTTATGAATGTCATGTTTTCCCCAAATTTAAGATTTTATCAAGATTATCAGGATTATCAAGATTATCAAGACGTAATCATGATGTCTATGTATGGTAAGTGCAGAGCATATATGCTAATTAGTTAGTTAGACTTTAAAATTGGATATTTTCTCAGGTTGCTATTTTTTAGATTTCATTGCATAAACTTTCAAGCTGGATTAAATTCCCATGTTGTCCTTTAAACCAATATTGTTGCTTTCTTAAAACTATTTGCAACGGGATACTTTTGTGCATATATAATGTGATAGAGAAATATACGATTATTTCCACATTCAGAGTAATGGAAATGGAATAAAAAGACAATATTTTAGAGTGAATTATCCCACGTCGCCAGCATACACAATGAAAAATCATGACTCGGAGAGATTTTTAACAGAATCACCTTGGCAATCATACCACATCTTCTTATTTTTATATTATGTGTATAGTAAGATGTGGAAACATCACAAATGATTCTTAACTGTGTCAAGTCTAATTATAAAGAACCCTAATATCATAATAAGACCATAGAACTTTAACAGCCTTAGAACTCCCAGTTCACATCACATTTTGTTGTGGTCCTTATCAAAGTCTGGTAAAATTAAGGCAAAGTTTGAGAATCTTTATTGCAGTCTTAGTTAGTTGAGGGAACTGTCGACCTGTTTTTTTTTTACTGTTCCATTTGCCCAGGAATGTGATTTTGTTTTAAAAAAGCACATTTTAAAATTTTATTCATTGTATGTGGATTACAGTCAAAAGATCGAATCACTTTTCTGATTTTAAAATATCTGCCTGCAATAGGCATCACACCTTTAGAGAATAAAATGTAAACGTCAAAAATGACTGATAGGAAAATGTATTGTGTTGAATAACAATGTGGATTAGTTATTATGAGTACATAAAATTCAAAGGTATGGTATTATTTTTTCCAATCTGATTCTTTCACATGTTAAAAAATAGTTTCTTGTTAAAGACCATTTTTTACCTCTTGTTTTGGTGTTATTGGGTTGATGTTTCATTGACTTTTACACTAGTGTAACAATGCTACTTTAGAACCATTCTATTTTTCTAGAATATGTAATAAATTTTAAATTTATTATAAATAATAAACTAGTTTTCAAGGAAATACAATATTTGAATATTAGTCACAAGGTCATGATAAAATGTCTTTGATTTTAAAGCAGATTCTAAAAAAAGAAAGATTTAAAAATAGATTTGAGATAGAAAAAAAAATGTAATTTTTGAAACCTCTTCTAAAGTCACTTTCCAAAAAATCTTTTGGATTTTTTTGTCCAAATTGGTCACATGAAAAGCCACAAAAGGAAGAGAAAGTTTGTGGGTATGATATGCAATAATATAATGGGAGATAACTTTTGTTTACTTGGAAAAAATCCATTAAAATGCTTTATTGAATGGGAAATAACTCTTGCTTACCCTTTTTTAACTACCTTTTCAGCTGATCAAGTTCCAGTACTAAGTATGGAAAAATCAGACAATAATGATGATGTAATAATCATAGAAAAAGAAATTCAAAATACTCAACAGAAAAAAGATAAAGAAAATGTTTCAAAAGTAACACCAAAAAAGTCATCGGAGCCTAAACAGACCAAACAAGCCAATAAAAAGAAGACAAATAAAAAAGGTAAGACAAAGCTGCCAGAAAAAAAAAATATAAAAAATTATTAGTATGGAACCTGGTGTGAAATTTGGAAACATGCTTAATGTGTAATTTCCATCAACCATTGGAGACAAAAAATATGGTTGGAACAATTCTTAAAGTAATACAAAAGTTCTGTTACATTTTTGTACTAGAAAAAGTGTTGAACTTCTATATAGTGTTATAGATCACTGTGAATTCATATCTTCAACTGTTGTCAGTGGGCTTTGTCGAACTTTCTATGATAAGTAACAAAGTTCAATGGCCAAACCTTTTTTTTTCAGATGTAAAGTTGTTTTCAGACTAATCATAAACATTTTGCATTAACCAATTTTACCCCATGATTTTATTAGCATGGTCACACCAACTTAGGGCTGTGTAAAGATTATTTAATACTACATTATATATTATTCAGGTTTCAGAGAGGGTATAGTATGTGGCATTCCCCACTTAAGGTTTTTATTCCCTGAGCCGAAGGTAAAGTGTCACATTATTTACCCTGTCTTAAACCTGATAGACTTATTCTGCCTTAACATATTTTCCAGTACATTTTGTACTAGTTATTTGGTGAACATTCACCGTTATAAGAGTATAGATATTGACTTAAATTTTGTATTGAGTTATTTTACTGTTGTAAGAATTTATTCATGCAGTATATATATTATATTTGTACATTAGTACAACTCAGCAAGATACAAAATGTAATTCAAGATTCTCAGTTTTGTCAAGCAAGAGTTATGGGACTTTGTTCATGATAAAAGTTTTTTTGGCAATGTCTTATCAGAAATGGGATTAACAAAGTTAGGCTCACTTGTGAATATGACAGCTTTTGCTTGTTTGATTCTAGTATAGAGTTATGGAAAGAGAGATGTTTTTTTCTGTTTTTCAGATTAAATTAATTTTATAGATATTCTCACACACATACTAACATCAAACTCATTAACTCTTAGGAAGTTTTTCATAATATTATTATTATTATTATTATTAGGAATGACATGATAAATTCCTCAATATTTTAGTAGGGATGATTATAAATTGTCTTATTGGAAAGATTTAATTTTAAAATGCTATATTATGAGAAAAAGTATAATTGTATGTTAAAAGGACAGAAAAGGTAACTGGAACACCAAGATCACCAAACACAACCCCTGTACTTTTTTTATGCCCCCTCCTAACAATTTTACTGAGATTTTTAAACAAGGACTATTCAATCTTATTTACTAAATTCTGTGAAACAGAACTTTTCACTATAATTTTGTTATTGTGGGCATGTTTTAGCAATGAAATTAGTACCGGTAACTTACATAGAAATAGCTTGTAAAAAATATATTTTTCTCAGACTGGAAACCATATAAATTTATCACCATATACTAAAATTAATTTTACAGACCACAATACATATACAATATTAGGTCAACGTCAGAAAAATATAAACTTTTTTGTATGAGGCTGAGAAACTGGGGAAGGGCGAGGTTTTACTGAGCCCTTCCCCAGTTTTGTGCCGAAAAGTAAAAAGTTTATATTTTTCTGACATTGACCTAATATTGTTTTTATACTGCAACTTGAATTAATACATTGATAGTTATTTAAATTTTAACACAAATTTCAAACTTATTTTCCTCCCTTAATGAACCCCTGATGATATTTCTGCAAAACAAACTTTTAATATATGTAAAATTTATGAAATATAATTTATTATACCTACAGACTTTATTGTTTGGATATGTAGTAATCATCCTGTGTATCTGCCCATAAAAATTATAAGCTAAACTTCTCCTAAAATATCCAAACAATCGTATGATACGATGGAAGCAAACCAATACATGTAAGCTATTTTAAAGGGAATAATGGAATTTATTTTGAAACTTTTTAAGGTGAATTTTGGATAATTGATAGATTGATTATTGTGTATTTAAGGTAAAATTAAAAAGAGGGAGATAGGGAGAAGAAAGCTCACATGACCTCTAATTTCAAACCTCTCTATTTTGTACCGATGTAACCAAACAGATATCTTTAGTTTGAGAAAATGACAAGGAAAAGGATTTAACTAGGTTTATGAAGGCTGAAATGCTCGAGAGTTGAGAAAATGGGGTTATCTTAATGGTTAAAAAAATTGAAAGTCATCGAAGATTGAAATGTTCAGTGTAAACAAAATGGAGATAATGGCATGAAAAAGACTTGAAGAAAAGTAAAATGTGTTAAAAATTTGGGTTAAAAAAAAGGGAGAAAAAAAGATACCTAGGTGGTGATAAAAAATGTTCCAAAAACAAACCGGCGACACCACGTCAAAAGAGTAACAATTAAAAGGCAAACAACAGTCCCCAAGACACTAAAGAAAACTTAAATTTGAACAACTTGAATCCCATGGAAAAAACCAAAAATGATTAGCTACTATGTTTAATAATTAGTTTAATATTATGATAAATATTACTCACAGAAGGCACAATTACTTCCAGATAATTGGGCCTCGAACATAATCTTTGGTACATGCAATGTACTTGAAATTAAAAATTAAACGAAAATGTCATTATTACAAATTTGATAAAGAATATGTAGGAGTCATTGTATATTTTTGATAGAACCGATATAGCTGTCAAAAGGTTGGCATTATATTGATGATTATTTCTCTTCTTTACAAGCTATAGTAACTGGAGTACAAGGACAAGATTTAGTAAATAATCTATATAAGTTTGCGGTTATATGTATATGTTTTTTTTCAATCTTTTAAATCTTGAGTGATAAGGTATAATTAAATCCTTAAATAGATGAAGCAATTTAAATCGTTCAGGGAGTGGTTCTTAAATTTGGCTTTATCATTATGTGGAAGGAAGTCTCTTATTTATGTTGTTAAACAGAGTCTTTAGAAAATTTTGTTTATTTTTAGCGAAGATGTTTAAACAGCTATCCAGTATAGTTGTTATTTATGTACATAATCAAGGTTTTAGAGTTCATACGTTTTGACTTAATTGTTTGGACAATATGCGACAGAAATAGTTTTTAAAATTTTAAAAAGTCACCATGAAATTGCAGATATGATTGAATACAGTTTCTTGATCAGTAAGGAAATCTGAGATTGTAATTACTTTTTTTTCATTCCATGTTAAATTTGATGCTTTAAAATCTCGATTTCTTATGTTCTCACATCAAAATTATTAGGGCCAGGTATAATCTGTTTTGTCTAATCCTTTAAATTTAGAAAATTCATTGATTCTTAGTGTGCGATTTTAATTGTTTATCTTAATATATATTCCTTTCTCATATTCTAATATGTCTTTTTTCAATAATCGAAAACTGAAATAAAAGTATTGGTGACCTAGTGAGACAGCATTTATTAATATACAATCAAAATCACATTTAGAAAATACTGTAGCAACCTTTTTTTCAATTGTTAGTTTTCATCTTGTATGGCATTCGTTGATGAGCAAGTAGGTTATATCGTTGACCAATTTCCAAGTTGACCTTTGGCATCAATGGAAGAAATATTTGTTACTTTTTGCTGACCCTGCGACTTTTGTCGCAAAAGCGACACATAGCGATCCTACATTCCGTCGTTGTCGGCGTCAACAAATATTCACTCTGTGGTTACAGTTTTTATACGACCGCAAAAAAATTTTGTGGTCGTATATTGGTATGACGTTGGCGTCGTCGTCGTCGTCGTCGTCGTCGTCGTCGTCCGGCGTCGTCGTCGTCCTGCGTCGTCGTCCGAATACATTTTGGTTTTCGCACTCTAACTTTAGTTTAAGTGAATGGATCTTTTTGAAATTTGACCATAAGGTTAAATACCACAAAAGGAAGGTTGGGATTGATTTTGGGGGTTATGGTACCAACAGTTAAGGAATTAGGGGCCAAAAAGGGGCCAAAAATGAGCATTTTCTAGTTTCCAGACAATAACTGTGGAACGGTGTATGGATCTCTCTGAAATTATACTACAAGTTTCCATACCACAAAGGGATGGTTAGGATTTGCTTTGGGGGGTTATGGCTCAAACCGTTTAGGAATTAGGGGCAAAAAAGGGGGAAAAACAAGGTTGTCCTGGTTAATGGACAAATACTTTAGTACAAAACATAATTTAAAGCAGTGTAAGGGAGATAAATCAAATACATCATTGAAATTATCTCCCTTACACTGCTTTTAAATTATGTATAAAGTAATGGTTAATGAACAATAAAGATAATCTAAAACAGTGTAAGGGAGGTAATCCAAATACAACGTTTTGGTTACTTCCCTTACACTGCTTTTAAATTATGTTTAAAGAAATGCATATTTATAAAGGAAGACCAGTAAAAATATCTGCAAATGTTTTCATCTTTTTTTTTTACAAAAAAATCCATATGAAAGATTTGACACTATATTTTTATTAATTCTATTATAAAATAGATTAAGTTAGCACTATGGTAAATTTAAATGGGTAATTATGGTTGCCAACTCCATTGGAAATTTGAATTGAGATTATGACCATATCTTGAGGGAAAGAATTTTTTTGGGGGAAAAAGGGGGGGGGGATAAAAAGAAATTGTGGGGGGCCAATTTTTTCTCATTTCAGATTTCAGAAATTAAAAAGAATTATTCTTCAAATATTTTTTTTTTTTCAAATTTCAAATATTGAAAAATTTCAAGAAGTAATCTTTAATTGCACAGTATGGCGCATTAGATTTGTAAAATCTTTGATCACATTTATTTATTTGTTATGCCGAATCTAACAGTGTATTTAGATTTTTAATTTTGGGTCCAGTTTTCAAATTGGTCTACATTAATGTCCAAAGGGTCCAAAATTAAACTTTGTTTGATTTTAGCAAAAATTGAATATATGAGGTTCTTTGATATGCTGAATCTAAACATGTATTTAGATTTTTGATTTTTGGCCCAGTTTTCAAGTTGGTCCAAATTGGGGTCCAAAATTAAACTTTGTTTGATTTCAACAAAAATTGAATATATGGGGTTCTTTGATATGCTGAATCTAACCATGTATTTAGATTTTTTATTTG